AATAGGATGGAGTTCCGGAATGTAGTGATCGCGCTCCTAAACTCTGGGAGCGGGGCTCTAATTTATTCAAGAACTAGATTCTAAAATTTAAAGAACGCATTCTGTGCAGTATCGGGAATGAGTTCCGCAGTGAATGGAGTCAAGAATCCTAAAAATAAGAGTGAGCTCCTAAAAAATAGAGAACGAGTTCTGGTCGAGATCTCGACTACGAAGCGCCGAAACTAGGTTCGAGAGCGGGAGCGCCACCCTAGTTAGGCGCTCCCGGTAATTGTGGAACAAACCACAGCCCAAATTCAAAAAATTGAATGAATGTGCAAACCATAGCCCAAATTCAAGAAATCGATTGATATTATTTTGTTTTTGATGAACAAACCATATCCCAATCCGCAACCCAAATTCACTCAAATATTGACAGAGACAAGTAACTACAACCAAGCAAATCTCTGAAGCCAGTAATTGTTGGCACTATTCTTTGAATTCCACCACTACTTCCACGTTCAACATCTATTTTTTATGGTAGTACTATTCTTTAAATTCCACCAATATACAAAACTAGCGATGTCCTCACTTTCTAAACAATCAAATTAGAGCCGACCTCGAAAATTTTACTAGAAGAGATCGTTTTGACATCGAAATATCCTCTAATTGATCATCTCGACATCAAGATGCATGAACACGAGAAACAAATGTATTTCAAGTTTTTGAATTAGTGCACCTTGTAATGTATTTTTTGACAGTCAATTTGTAAGATTTTCAAGTTCTCATAGATCTACTTAATCTACATTATTTTTGAAGCTTTAAATTTTATAATTAAAAATAAAAATATATTTTAAGACTATCACAAAGATTTGCGTTATTAAAACTGCCTTTGTCGATACTAATTGAAGACGCATTTTACTTTGATTGTTTAGAACCTCGGCCCTATACAAACCGCACCCCGTTTCGTAGATGTTGTCGACCCAAATGATCATTTCCTTTGGAAACGTGATTCAGGTCTGGATATTTCCACAACATAATTCATTTATAATCCGTGTCTTTTGGACCTTTAGTTAGTGAGAAAGTTAGGTACACGCATGCATGCTTGCTGTCTTTCCAGATTGCCAAAAATATGTCATATCAGGAGGGTTGTGATTCTTAGCGTAGGGCTTCTTTCTACGACATGAACAAGCAGTGTTGGAAAAGTAGGCTGATTAACTTGGACAGGCACGGGCCGAGCCCTAGTGATCTCGATTTCATAGGCAACCCTTTGGGATATGCCTCTATGGTGCACTAATCGGTCAATTTATATATTAACTACTCGATTTGCAAGATTTATCAACGATATGTCAAAAAAATTGGATGACTATGGTTTAGAAACTTCATAAAGTAGTATTAGTACTTGGCGAAGAGATATTGTTACTGCACTATAGACTCCATCGGGCTTCAGGATAATTTTTGCCCTCATCAATCTTGATGGCAAAACTCAAGAAAATCTCAAAATCCATATCAAACTTATTACATTTGAGCAGTATTTTTTACTATTGTGTAACATATAGCTTCTTTCAATTACTTGTTCACAGAAAACATGTTGCCTCAGGTGTCTAAAAGTTTTGTCCGGAACCCAATTATACATGTAATCTATATTTTTGTTTCACTTATTTTATGTGACAATATAATAAAATAATGCATATAATGTTTTTCCATTTTTACATGTTTCTAATATTTTTTTGGGGATCTTTAACCCTTTGTTTTTTACATTACAAAACTCAGCACTTATCGGGCGAACTAAATCTGACTCAGCCCAATTAATCGGCTCGAGCCATGAGGTGAATAGTCGATCTGACTCGATCTTTCCTACACTATGAGAAACTGGGCACCAAAATGTTGTTATGAGAGGAATAGAAGCTGATTCAAATATCTTTCTTATGTTAATTTTTTTAAGCATGTTTGGTTCGTATAAAAAAAAATTCGTGAAAAATTTTCACGCGAAAGACCTGCTCCATTTGATTATGGAAATTTATTTACACCAATTGCTCCATTTTTATGGTAAACTTTTCTAACACGGACCAAATGCTGTTAAAAAAATTTCGTACTTAATCACGTAGAGGAGTTTTTTCATGTGAAGATATTTTTATGAAAAAAGTTTCATAGGACCCAAATTGGCGCAAAGAATTAAACTAAACCAGTGAAGCATCTCTTTCTCCTAGTCCTAGAGAAGATAAAATGAATGGGATAACAAACAAAGAAAAGATTTGGCATGGGGCTCAAGGCAAGAAAAAATTGACGTGACGCTTACTCGCATCTCCTTCAAGGAACAAGGAACCTTCATGAGAATTCTTAATGATTGGAGAAAGCCTAAAACTAATTTATGACGAGAACTAAACCTTAAAGTAATGGGTGTGGTTTGTATTAGGCTGAGACCTTAAACAATCAAAATAAAACACTTTTAAATAGTGTTGGAAGGTGTTGTTTCATTACTAAAAATATTTGTGATGGCTTGAAATTTTGTTTTTACCTCTAATTGTAAAATTTAAAGCTTCAAAAACAGTATAGTTCGAGTATATATATGAACACTAAAAAATATTGAAAGTTGATGGTCCAAAAAACTATATTTTAAGATGCACTATTTTTAAGATTCAAAAACGATCTTTTCTTATGTTCATACATATTAGGGTTGAGATGATCGATTTAAGACTTTTAAGCATCGAAACAACCTCTTCTAGTGAATTTTTTATGTGTGTCTTAATTTGATCGTTTAGGGCCTCGCCCTTATATAAACTTTTTCCTAAACAAATTTTTCAGGAGAACTAACTTTGTCCAAATTGAAGAAGTATTGTTTATTGGACGCCCTCAACGACATCACTAGTTCGACAATAAAGATACCATTAACAAATGTTCAATTGGTCAAGTGTAAAGAAAGAAAAAAATATTTAAAAAAAAAAGTATACAAAGATATCATTTATCTTTTATACAACGAGATCACAATCACTCTTGTCTTTTAGATTTTAAATTGAGTGATTGTAAGAGTGTCATTGAAAAAACTCAAGGTTCAAAAAAAAAAAAAAAATCTTGAATTTCATCGCTAGTTCAAGCCATCAAATTTAACATCTAATGAGTGATTGTTACCCCTTTATAATAAAAATAAATTCTTTTATTGTATACAATAAAGAAAGAGAAGAATAAATGCTTAGAGTGAGTAAGTGATGGTGAAATATTTTTTTTAATTTTCATTTCAAAACTGCTAATTATTTCTAAAAACCGGAAAGAGCATGTATTCTCCACTAATCTACCCAAAAAAAAGACGCAGCTTCCTTTCCCCTCTTGATTTGACTTGCAACAACTTCCTCCAAATCTATAAAAGCTTCCAGATTACCAATTAATGACAATCATTATAGTGAATTATCCATTTTCCAAGCATTGACCTTTAAAGTAGTGGCTGCGACTTGGGAGCAGGTTCCTGTATTCTTACTCCTGCTACTGCCATGAAAGCCTGTAAAAGTAGGAAGTGGAGTGCAGAGAGTGATGATATTCTGGGTTCTTTGCTTTCACCCGCATGGGTCAGAAAGAGATAGATGGTTCTTTTTAGGAAGCAAGATATGTTAATTTTAGGAAGTTATATAGAGAGAGAGATGGTTCTTTGCTTTCACACCAAGGCGAGGTACCTTTTACTTGTGGTTACCGCCCCACCATGTGTGGTGCCCAGTAGGTCAATAGGGTTTAGAAGAAACTATCCCTGAGATACAAGGAAAAAGTTCAAACAATGAATGAAAAACTAGTCGGCCGACTTACTCGAGCTCGGGCCTTGCTGAGTTAGAATTATTCCCAGTTGGGTGTCTCTAATTTGGAGATTTTAAAAAAAAAATTAAAAAAAAAAAAAATCCTAAAAAGTAATAACTTTAGTAGGAAGATATTTTTATGTTTTCCAATCATTTTGACGAATATTGAAAAGTGTTTTTATAGATAAATACTTATTTTTACATTTTTCCCATTTTTGAGATTATTTCAAAAATGCCCTCAATCACAAAGATTTTTTAAAATTCTATTTTTCACTACTTTTTAAACATCATTTTGAAGTATTTTTCTTAATCTTCCTTTAAACATTTATTTCCTTATTTTTTATAATTTTCTTACATTTTTTTGTTGCTACAATATTCGATTTGAGTAATGGGATCGGGCTAGGACTGATTACTCGGCCCGAATCGCACTTTCTAACATTACTTTTAAAAGTCGTGTCGTGTAGTGATATATTGTTTTAAAAGATATATAAAATCTACATTGTCCAAATAAAATAGATGGTATAATGTATCGCAAATTTATTTTTATAGGTTGTAGGCTGATACAAATTGCATCCATCTTTCGTTATAAGGAGGTCACAATTAGACTTTGTTATAAAGTTGTACCTTGGTATGTGTCATAACATTTGAAAATTTTTTATCTTTTTTTTAACTTTGAGTTTAGTCAATGATACACTTACAATGACCTGATTTAAAATTTAACGAACAAGAGGGAATATGATCTCTTTACACCAAAAGTAAATGACTCTTCATATACTTTTTTGTCATAATAATCCACCTAACGAATTTTGTGCTTGATCAATGAAATAAATACAACTGCCCAATTTCATATCCTACGGTCAAAATTAATTATAACCACTTGTACAAAAGATAAATAGTCTCCCAATATATTTTTTCCATAGGAGATAGTCCAAATAGATCAAATCACCTTACGGTGTCAATTTCTATATTTCTGAATTTCACATCTTTCTCTTAATTAACTAAAAAAAAATAAGAAAAGAACCCGGTCTTGATTGGATAGCGCTCGACCATATTCAATGTTAAGTCTTACGGACCACTTCCTAAAATAAAAAAAATAAAAAATAGAAAATATGACCATCGTGGCCATATTTATCGTGACGAGAATTACAGTTAACTTTCCAAATACACAAAACTCATCCTAACCGTCCGATAGTACGAAAGGGCGAGCGGAAAATCAATTAAATCAGTTATGCTAGCGTCTCGGTGACCAAAACGCGTAGAAAAACGACGGCCCGTTAAACAAGTGTACGAGAGGCGCGTTCAAAGCGCGTCTAGTATCTCCTCTCTCTCTCTCTTCTCTTCTCTATCTACTGCGTTTACGCGACTCTCTCTCTCTAACCCGTCTGAAGGTATTTAGGCACTGCAATCTCGACAAAGAAAAACCCAAATTCCCAAAAAGCAAGAGAGAGAGAGAGAAAGGAGAACCCAAAATCCCTGCAACCTACGAGAGCCAGAAAGAGACGACTAGGAGAGCCAGACAGAGACGATAATGGCGGTGGCGAACGTGAACAACTCGCTCTCCTTAGCGAACAAGGATGAGGTGGAGAGGGTTTTCAAACGATTCGATAGCAATGGAGACGGCCAGATCTCGGGGGCTGAACTCGGAGAAATGCTCCGAGCCCTTGGATCGAACCCCTCTGATGAAGAGGTGGCTAGCATGATGTCTGAGGCCGACACCGACGGTGATGGCTTCATCTCGCTCGAGGAGTTTGCAGTGATCAACAACCAAGCGCCCTTGGACAGCAACGCGAGCATGGTGGATTTGAGAGACGCCTTTGCGATGTACGATCTCGACAAGAACGGTTTGATTTCGGCCAAGGAGCTACACATGGTGCTGAAGAAGCTGGGTGAGAAGTGTTCGTATCGGGATTGTTGCCGGATGATCTCGACCGTCGATTCGGACGGTGATGGATGCGTCAGCTTTGAGGAGTTCAAAAAGATGATGACCAATGTGGCCAAGACCCCAACCTCCTAGAACCGGTCTTTCTCTATCTCTCTCTCTCTCTCTCTATATATTAAAATCCTAATTCTCACGTATCGGATGTTAAATATTCATCTCTCTAGACCGTAGTGTTTTCGTTTTTGTTCCCCTTCTAGAATTAAAAAGGTGGACTGGTATGAAAATATTTTGTGAACAACTGTTTGATATCAATGAAATCAAACTTTAACTTCAATTGCTGACAACATATAAAGATGGAAATATTGCTTTAATTTGTTTCTTTTTAGCCAACTTTTGTTGGGCCTTATTATTTTAGATTGACGCGGGCTGTTAGGGTTATTACTTTAGAACAACGTTTCAGTACTGAGCCGAGTCCACTCGGCCTCTGGCGGAGGCTTAAGCGAGTTGCTGGGGTGAAAAATAAAAGAATTTGTAAAAAATACAAAAAATAGAATACACCATTAGTTTAGATGGAATAAAGTTTTTAGATGATTTTGAAACCTTTATAACTTTTTAGGTGGGGTAATTTAAGTTTTTAGATGATTTTGAAACCTTTATAACTTTTTAGTTGGGGTAATTTGGTGGCTCATGTGTAGGGTAATTTGGTTCGAGTAGAATGCTACCATTACTTAAAATAAGATTTTTGTAACCGACCTCAATATCTACAAGATTTGTGGTTTTTTTTGCCTTTATAGTCTGCTAGTGATTTCTACAACCTCCTCTCTCTTTTTTATTATTTTTAAGTATTTTTAATTTTTCTGACCTTTTTTCTAGCATATACAAAACTCGGCCAAGTTACTCACCTCGACCATAGGCCTGGGCCAAGGCGAATTAATAACCTTGGTTTAGATATATGAGTTCAATGTCTGAAAAATGGATCCAATTTGGAGTGGGAAATTTAAAAAATAATTAATATAAAACTAATAACTTAGAAATTTTAAACAAGATGTGAAATTCTCATATCACTCTAAAAATAATATTTTTTTATGATAGTAGTATTCAAAAATAAAATCATATGGGGGAAATGGTCCGAGTCTCCAACCGCTAGCCCTCCACCAGTTTCGGTTCAAGCCAGAAAAACCGGCTGAACTGGTCTTTTTTTTTTCTAACACCAGATGGCTTCATGTCTAAGTTTAGCTTGCAATGTTTGTCTCTGATTTTTTTTGTGTCACTTATTTTGGTATTAGCCCAACGGGTTATGAGGTTTGTTACTATGTTTAATTAGCCTGATTGGTGATAGGTTCATATCGATAGTGTGTGTGACTCTTTATTTGCCTTGATGGAATCGGAAACCTCCACTCTTATGACCCCAAATAAATTTTCGGTTATTTGTTTGTTATTCTGGTTAGATCATTTTCTTCAATTTTTGTTTTATTTTTTTGGGTGTGTAAATTGAACTGAGACAGCGAGTGGCAAATAGATTCCTCATGGTTATGTGGCTCCTAATATTAACTTTTAGGACTTATTTGATTAGTAGGAGGTTCTAGAAGTCTCGAGTTAAATGTCCCACTTTCATGTTTGATATTATTGTGATGTTATACTTTCATGTTTGATATTATTGTGATATTATTGTGTGGAAACTGGAAAGTTGAAAGGTAGGTGTATTTCAAAAGTTAGATCCATATCCGTGAATCTATCCCTTGAGTCTATCCCATCAGGTTAGGCCTCGAGTTTGGTCAGGTCCATTGCTGCCCTCGTTATGAAGGGCAGTAGGTGTGTTCCAAAAGTTAGACCTATATCCGTATCCGGGTCTTGAGCCTATCTCATCAGGTCAGGCCTGGAGTCTGGTCGGGTCCATTGCCACCCTCATTATGAGCTACTTTTTTTGTAGCCTATAATGATGAACGACATAGAATCGATTTTTGAGGAATGGGAGATTAGAGAGACATTCGAGATCTAAAAAAAGAGCTCTCTCTAAGAAATTGAGAGAGAGAATTGCAAAGAGGGAGAATGATGGTGGGGTTTGGCCATTTGAGAACGGGGAAGACAAAAGTATTGAAACGATTTTAAGGTTGGAGCTTTGGTCTATAGGTAAACTAAAAATTCGGATATGGGTATCCGTCGAGTCGGGTATAGCAAGACCTGTACTCAGACCCGGGACTATCCGGGTATCATTTATTGGACCCATACCCAGACCGTGTCAGGTATACCCGACGGATATGGGTTGGGTCCGGGTCCATTGCCACCCTTAAAAGGCCGGCTCTTTTTTAGGGTTAAAATAAATTCATTTTTAGAAGACCTCCCCCTTTCATAAAAATGATAGAAGAGTAGCCTTCCCGTCAAACGCTTAGAGATCTTGTAATTTGGATCTTGAAGGAATGATAGCAGAGTAGTCTTCCCACACACGTGTCAAACGCTTAGAATTTTGTAATTTGGATCTTGAAAGAATAAGAATAATTTGTAGGGCTCGCGTTTGAGTGCTTTCTTGATGTATCAAATTATGGTAGTTTTTTGGACGACAAACTCATGCCTAAAGAAATTAGGAGAATTCAATACTTTTAGATGATATTTTTTTTTTTCTCTTTTTCTTTTTTATAAGTAGGAGGTGGTATGTTGGGGTAAGTTAAGTGGTAGAATTTGATGCCTGAGGATAGAGGTAAGGAATAGGTTTCTCTATATCTCTCTCTTTTAGAAAGATATAGAGTGCAGTTTCTTTTTCGGTAAGGAATCTAGGTTGTGATAAATAAAAACTATGTAGTAGGAGAAGATAAGGGCAAGCTTCCTATGTTTCCCCTACAACATAAAAACTTTCCTTCATCTAACCTTTCATTTTGAATGGAGAGTTAAGATTGCCCTAATCACAACGTCACATCTCTACGCTATTTTATTTTTAATTTTTTTCTATAAACTATTTTGACACCAAATTTTGAACATCCAATCCTCTATTAAACATGCACTAGCAAAAAATGTTAAAACAATATTTTCAATAAAATAAAATGATCAAAATACCCTTGAAAGTTTTAAGAGGTATTTTGGTTATTATATTTAATTGAAAAATTATTTTTTATATTTTTTATAGGTGCACCCAATGAGAAGATGACACGTATTAATTTTTATATTAATATAATTTGTATAAAAAAAAACTAAAAATAAAATACTTTGAGATATGAGATCTAAGATCAAACTGTAAGTGGTTCTCTTGATCAAAATTAGATGGCTGGTTGGTAGGGAAAGCATAAAACTTCTATGTTGTAGGAGAAGTATAAAAGAAAACATAGATCTTTTACGTTCTAAGAGAAGTATTGAAAGATTTCCCAATAGATAAACGACAGTAAAAATGTAGTTACCTGATTGGAAAATGAAGGAGAAATGGGGAGAGAGCGTGTAACGTGAGGAGAGAGCGTGTAACGTGAGGAGAGAGGGGTAATGAGAAAGTAGGTCGAAAGTAGGTAGAGAGAGGGAGAAAATTGAGAGGACAAATAGGAAAGTAGGTAGAGAGAAGGGAGAAAATTGCGGGATAGAGATAAATATATTTTTTTATATTTTTTATTTTTCATTATTTCAATTATATGTAAAAGGGGAAAGTCCCTTCTCTGTAACTAGAAAATTAGTGATTAGTAAAGAAATAGAATTAGTTATTTAGTATAGAATTTTGATAATGTTGAAAAGATCTTTGGGGTGGACTCCCTTGCAGATCCATAGAAAGTATAATCTTTCAACTTTTTATTTTTTATTATTCTTATTATTATTTCCTTTCCGCATCATTGTATCAAATTTTAAGTAAGATCTGCATCAATTGATATCAGATCAAGTAAGATCCATCCACTAAAACCTGCACTTACTCTTGATGATATATTGCTCCAAATCAAGGAATTTATGTGTAAGCAAATTCAAGAGAGCATAAAACCTGCTCTTACTCTTGATGATATATTGCTCCAAATCATGGAATTTATGTGTAAGCAAATTCAAGAGAGCATAAACACTGCTTTGGAGGATATTCGAAGAGACAGTAGTAAAACTAATCAGGGGTTGCAACGGTTATTCATCGAGAAGAGGGTGCTCGCAACCACGTTGATTAGGCACCAATCTCACTGTAGAGACGAATTGAGTTCCCGACTGACCCGGAATGTTGATCCAAAACATCAAGAACAAATATGCAGACAAGATCCTCATCCTATGAAACGTCTCCAAGATTTCGGTATTAAAATCGATCTCCCATAATTTTATGGTACGCTCCACGTAGAGGCTTTTATTGATTGGTTAAGTGTGTTTGACATTTATTTTGAATGGAGTGAATTGCGAGAGGAACTTAAGGTTAAACTTAAACTTGTAGGAACCAAGCTCCATAGATATATTGCGGCTTGGTAGGAGCAAAATCAACAATCTTGATGTCGTAGTGGAAAGGGAAAAATTACTAATCGACAAAAGATGAAAAAGAAACTCCCAAGCAAATTTTCTTTTAAGAACTCATAAATCTGCGACAGCAAAATCAACATCTTGATTTCGTAGTGGAAATGGAAAAATTACTAACCGACAAAAGATGAAAAAGAAACATATCAACAAATTTTCTTTTAAGAACTCATAAATCTTCAACATAATGAAACGAAAGTGGAAAGTTATGGAAAGTCGAAGATTAAGGAAGGGGTTGGGTCATGCTGGTAGTATCCCCACACCCAGTTAGCACATCTTGGTAAGTGGAAGATTATCGAAAGTCCAAGATTAAGGAAAGGGGTTGGGTCATGATGGTAGTTTCCCCACACCCAGTTACCACATCGTAGTATCCATTGCTACCGTACTGACACCCCCAATTAACACCTTCAAAATGTAACTCACCTTTAAAATGTAACTCCCCAATCTATTGAAAAACTAGGTACAGGCATGTCTTCCTCATTGAGTTACCCAAAAATATACTGGGGAGTTTTACCGATTAGTAACTCGAAACAGCCTAGATTAGTAGCTCGAAACAACCTCCAAGAGACGGACGGCGTTTTCCTACATCTATCATGACTTTAAGTGAACTTTAAGTGAAGCTTTTTAAATTGAGTTTTTCAAATTATTTTATGAAACTAAACACCAATTGAGCATTGATAAGTGCTTTTACACTCAATGAGGTTTGCACCAACCAAAATGAAGAAAAAATGAATGCTTCAAATATTACTTGTTATAGGACACCGTATATATGAATGCCCAAATAAGAACCGGAGGTACACTTGTCTTCTAAGCTCAAGAAGAACCATATGAATGCCCAAAAAAAAAGGTGGAGGTACACTTGGCTAAGGAAGGGGAGGGGATGAT